TAGTTGAATGATGGTGTAGAAAGAAAGCTCTCTATTTATTATTGTTATTTACGTTTTGAATACAATCCACAGTGTAAAACTACTATTAAGACATAAGTAGTACATACACTGTGTTGATCCTAAACTTTGCAGCAGTGAGCCACCATCCTCCTGAATTATATTTACCTTCTGTTAGTGGTGGATTGAGCAGCAATAATTGGACACATGTCACCAGTAAAAGGATACTGGAGTGAGGGGGTGAGGGAAGGGGGCAGGGGGGTGAGGGGAGGGGAAGGGGGTGAGGCTAGGCAGGGTGAGGGAGGGTAAATGACTGAGTAGTGCCAAGTTTGCAGTATTCCAAGTTAAGCGCCCCGGCATGCATCAGCAACAGGTGGCGCCTTTATGAGTGCTCTGAGTGTTGCATGACAGCGACAGCTATGGGTTTATCGCCATGGTCAAGGAGAGAGACAAGCGAGGGGAGAGGGAACAGGAGCTGAATGTCAGTGGATGAGACAGTAAAAGTGCGACATAGCAAGGTGTGAGAAACAAGGACAGGGAAATAGCTTTTGAGAAAAAAAAATCCCCACATGATGATGATAAGTGAGAGTTTAAGTCACTACTTTCTCTTTTTTTCATTATGGTGTGAAGAAATGAGGCAGATCGCTCCTCAGCTGGAAATAGAGACATCTCAGTTATCTCAAACGCTCCCTCAGCAGTCGAATCACATGATGAACAGAGAATTCCAGGGAGGCCACGCTAACCTCGACCCCTACTCTCTATGAGCTAAAAGAGCCTCTGGTCGTGACTCAAGCCAGTGGGATGACCCCAAAGAATCTCAACCAATCACGATTGTAAAAAGGCTTGTGACGTGCACTGAAATGAGGTAATACTTATTGAAATCGATCAGCGTAACATTCACCTCCACCAGCCAACACAATTAAAAGAAGCAGTGTTGAGTGACAAATTAATGGATAGATAAAATATATGAAGTATTTCATCAGTCAAGCAGTTCATTAGCTTTTATTTTATGTTTGTGATGGATGAAGCAACAGTGTTCTCAATTCGGGTAGTGGGGACCCCCAGAGAAATGGGTAATATTTTAATTACAACATTTTTCACTGACTACAAATTAGTCCAATGAGAGAATAAGAATGACTCAAACTCTTCACTGTTCTGCCAATATATAGTACAGACAGTTATGAAATAGTCTTATCAACTACAATATATACAATATAGTCCACAGCCTGATGTGTATCAATTCGGGGGATCCCAAAAATGTTGAGAACCACTGCCATAGTGGTTTCAATATTTGTTTCAACATGTAAAAAGAAGTAGATTTCAGTTACTCCTGACCTTGCAGGCCAAGTTGACCCATAACCCCACCCTTATCCATTTCTACTCTTGAGTGAGTGACTGAAGTTAAAAAACACCTGCCTTGTTTATCAATGTTGTCATGTACAATGGTTAAACATCCAAACACATCACAAAAGACTGATGAAGTACATTTTTGGCTTTGGATAAATCTCTAAAAGCACATGTGTACAGCTTCAAGCTCAACATAGCAACTGCTCTTTTAAAGAGGTATCTAATTACCATAACCTTGCTTACACCCACCTAATTAATACCTAATTTTGACTACGTTAAACTTAATCTTTGAGCCAAGAGCTCCGTGAAAACCAATTTAGCTCAATGTGCTGTGTTGACAGGTTGACACCAGCTCCCACTCTCGTGATGGCAACACGCCAAGATGTGACCGTTTCACATTCCTGCTAAATTGTCAATTAACATGTATGAAGACGGTATCATCTCTCATATTGAAGCAGTACACAAGTCTGTTCAACCATCTGTTAACTGCGCCATGCCAGAGCTGTGTATGGGCCTTACAGCCGAAGAGAATTCTGTTTCTGCTTCACACACTTGTCTCCTCATTAGAGTAAAAGATTCATGTAGTTGAGTGAATGATACAAAAGTTCACACCTTGAAACTGTTATTTCTTTTAATTGTGAAATATATTTAACACCTACTTCTACCGCTACTTTATACTCATTACAATTGAGAGGGAAATACTGTACTTTTACCTCCACTACTTTGAAAGCTGTAGTTACTTTGCAGAATAAGAGTTTACATAGAAAACATATAAACATATTACAAATTATATACAATGATGATGGGGTCATTTTTCGCGCATATGACAGCCATCGTACTTTCTACTTAACACTTAGGTAGGGTGTAGCGAGTGACTTGCAATCTGCAACTGCACCGCTAGATGCCACTAAATCCTACACACTGTACCTTTAAATAAGATTTCTGAATGGAGTATTTTTACATTATGGGATTAAAACTTTTCAAGTACTCTCACCACTGTTCTGTAGTTTGTTCCGCAATGTTTAGCATATTTAGATTTCAAAAGACTGGGACCACTTAGTAGCTTTACATCCGTCTAGGACTGAACAGCATGTTCCTCACTGCATCAGTGATCACAGTGATAATACAATTTAAGGCTGACTAGAGTTATGATGGCAACCGAAATCTGTCCCACAAACTTTCTGAATTGGTGTTTCTTACCGACATTCAGGTGAAGGTAATACCACATGTATAGTACACTCGCTTTTACTTGATTCACATCAGACCACAGGTTTTCTGGGTGTGATAAGCATTTTTCTATGAGGATGACTCTGGTCAATGTCTGTTAGAACATTTTCAGTTAAGTACTCCTTTGAAAGTATAATTCAGCCAAAATTGAGTTTTCCACGCTGCTGAGTCCATGACGGGGACATGATGAACGCCACTTTAGAGTCAGAGAAGTGTGAAAAGTGAGCATTCAATTACTCTGGAGGAAAAGTAAGAAGTTGAGCTGCCTCTTCTACCTCACCGGTTTGAAGGGTGTGTGTGCTTTAAGGAGGTGAAAAGGGTTTTGAAAAGGTTTTATTTACTTGAACATCCTGGTTCACAGGTCAGATAGAAGCCAAGTCTCAACCACACACTCCAGCCAGACACAAACCCATTTTTCTTGTCTGACTGTTGCCATTAAACTTGAACTTGAAACTGGATACATTTTACACTTTCTTGACAACATTTGTGTCCGCCAAAAACTAGTGAAAGTGAAGTTTAGTGAGTTTAGAAAAGAGTTAACTCCTTGACAGGCCTGTGCAAAGCTCAGTACTCGGTATGAAGTCATGATAAATAACTACTTTAACAACCAAAGGTATCAAAAATATCTCCTGATTTATATATGCTGCTGTGGGCTGTGTTCTGACCAGGGTGTTTCAGCATAGCAAAGCTGTCAGAGCAGTAAATCAGACACATGGTGTGACCTCATCAGCCACTTGCCTCTTACAAGGATTGAGGGCATTACCTTTCCTGATCACATGGTGCACTCCCTGAAGCTTCAAAACATTATCCACAGTTGATAAAAATGTCTTTCTGATTCTGACACTATTAAAATTCTCCAGATGAAAATAGTGTAGCCACAGACACCTGAGGAGGAGAGTTGGTGGCCTGCACTGTTGCCTGGGAAAATTTAACCTTTGCAGTTTAGCTGCTCTCAATGCAAAGAAACTCTTATCATTCTGTCATTTTTTAAACTAGAATTATAGCCAAACAGTCAAGTTGCAGTTTACATCAATGTCTGTGCAGACTCATATATGTAGTGAAGACTTCTTCTTTAAGTTATCCTGATATTGACATGTATAATTTCAGGGAAATACATGCTGTCTTCAGCAGGGGTTCTGAAACTGGGGGTCAACCCCCCTTCGGAGGCATACAGCCACTGCAGGAGGTGGGTGCATGATCAGGGTAAAAATATGTGGTGAATGAATATCATTTATGTAGGAAAAATAGACCAGCAAGTGTTTATTTATGCTTTTGTGCTGACCTTTATTTCATTAAAATTCTACTTGGATCCTTTTTATTTGCTCTCTATATCATTGTTAATTAATGATAAAAAATTGTGGGTTGGGGAACTTTTATCATTTTCTGCAGGGGGGCATGCACGATAAAGTTTGAGAACCACTGACCTAGAGACTATTTTTACAGAGGAATACAGAAGACTGATAGAGAGCTTTTTCATATGGTGCAACGACAATCACCTGAAGCTCAATATCATCAAAACCAATAAGCTTGTGGTGGATTACAATGCTTTAATTATGGATGTTGCTGCAAAGAAACTACACATTCTAACACATGGATGCTTCACACACAAATCTTCAACCCGACAGCAAAGAATATCTATACAGTCACCACAGTTTCACTCTGACCCAATCTCCCCTTCTGTTCCTGAGTTATGGCGTAGAAAAATGGGCAGATTTTGCAGAACATTATGATGTCACAGTGAAGTTGATCTTTGACCTTTTAGAAAACATCATCACTTTATTATTTTATCTTATTAGACATTTCTGTGAAATGTTGCCATAATTACCCTACATATTTTGTTAAAGCACAGTGACCTGGATCTTTGACCACCAAATTCTTACCAGTTCCTTTTTTGAGTCCAAGTTGACAATTGTACCAAATTTCCTGATATATCATGCTGACGAGAATGGGACCGATGGAAGGACAATTGGACCGATGGATAACTGGAAAGCATAATGCCTCTGGCCACAGCCATTGAAGGGAGGCAAACAACAACACAAGACAAGCATTACAATTGGCAACTTTTAAGGCAGTTTCATGTTGAAGTGATGCAAACCAATGGATGCGTCACAGAGAAAATATAAAATAAAGCTACCTATGTCGCGCAATAATGTGGCTATAAAATACTGCATTGACCATGGAGGATCAAAATAAAAGAGTGAGATAAGTTTATAGAGTGAGACATTGCTTGAGGGAGCAGACTCAAAGGATGGACCGAAATATCAAAGAATAGGTAGATATGGGCGGTAAATGAAGTGGAAGGAAGGCAACAGGGAGCCGGAGGAGGTGGAGTGTGAATGATGAGAAAGACCATTAGAAACAGATGCAGACAGTTGTAAAGAGACAGTTGGCAGGTAGGTCAAGGAATTTGGAGAATACTAAGTCATCACTCTACATATACCTGAAAGCTTTATTGGGGAACACAGTTAACATCAGAGTAATGGCACACAAGGGGAGAACTTGGACAAGCATGTTATCTAAGACAAGTCTTTTTAGTGCAAATTCCCTCTTTGTGTTACCATCCATCCACCGCAGTTCAGCAAGGAAACACTGTCTGGGGAAACAAAAGAGAAACAGGGATTTTGGTACTAAAAATCTTGGAAGATACCCGCTTGACTCATATAACTCAGATTACTGCTACCTCATCTAGGCTTCAAATACACTTTGGAATACATTTTTACACAGAATCAGGTCCTCCCAACCAATTTCTTCCTTTTTAAGTATGTTAGAAAGGAATCTCTTACTGGCCAGTAGGATTACAGCAAAAGCAGTTTATTATATATTTATTTTAATATTTATTATATTATAGCAAATGTCTAAAATATGGACTTAAAAAATGTGAACCTATCATTTAACATTCAAAACATTTTTTATGAGTCACTTCTTGATACCATACACAATCATATTTTATTAAATGCAGAAAGGGTTAGGGTTTATTGAAATTAAAGATTTTATTCCAGCAAGTTACATACATATTTGTATACCTGATATGTGTATCTGTTATTTGATTCAACTATACAATATAATGATATAAAAGATGACACAAATGTTTTAAAAACAGGTAAGTCACAAGCCTTAGCCACTATTACCTTTATTAGCATCTTGGTTTCATAATAACACTCAACTGATATACTGACACCATTATACATAATTTGTAGTTTACAATATCAAAGTAACCCAAATATAACATGAGACAGTTTTTATGCTCTTCATCAACGCTTCCCAGTCCTCTCCCTAACCAGATGACATGGCTAAACCTCCAGCCAATAAACCATAACATGCCTTTGGTGTCATCTATCCATGTAAGTGAACCAGTAAGCCAGTTAAGTAGCTGGTGAAAATGTATGTATGCTTTAGCATTAAGCACTTATGATTGTATGACATAAACATGTAAGCTACCAGTTTCTTACTGTGTTAGATTCTGAAAACCCATATAGAGATTGCAAAGTAACTAAAAATCATTAACATCAAAGCAAAATAAATAAACTATTAACTATAAACTACTGTAAACTATTGAATTTCAAAATGAATTATCCATACATTTACCATGCATACTGCATGACTTAAGTTACAGACCCCAGACCACCTGCTAGAAAATGATAGCTGGAGGCATATTTCTTTAAGTGTGACATGTTTATGATTGTTGTTATTGCTGAAGGCAAAGTTCACTGGTTTTACTGTCAGGGCAAGAAAGGTATAGGCAGTCGGGAGAACTGGCATGCGTTAGAAAACACATTTCAGAGAGGTTTGTCATACCTGTGTCTTTAAGATATACGTTTTGTTTGGTATAAATTTTGGTTATTTCTGCCAACATCTATAAACATTTATAGGCAAACTGCAGATGTGTTTTATGGTACAAGTAACTCCAGTAATCCAAGCCTGTATCAATGGAAAATAAAGCTGAGAAAATTAAATATGTACTGCACTGTAAGTATACTGAATTACTTTTGGTAAGTAACTAAGTTTGTCATAATGTTTCATACATTAACACATTTCTATCACTTTGTATGTGAATTGTCTGCTTTTATTCCCTAGCATCATTTACAGTAACTGTATTTCTGGGAAGGATGTTTTTGTTGCAGTTGCACTTGCTGATACTCTTGATCATGTTTCAGATGTTCTTAGGAACATAACAAACTTGTAACAGCTGCACCATGTTTGGCACAACACCTGATGGGAGGGGACAATGTGACACATTACTTCTTTACTTAAGCATTTACACTGTGTCTTAAAATACAACAACTCTCAACATGACATGCAACTGGAATGCCAATGGCTGTAATAAAAGACAAGAGACAGAAGCATTCAAAGGCTGCAGCCTTGAACCTGGATTTAGATGTAGCTGTAGGCTTTATATAAAGCCAAATATAGTGCAACATAGTCTAAGCCAAGCTATTGTTAAATATTAAATAAATATAAATAACTCTATTTCAATTGTAATGTGTCTGCTCTGTTATTTCTGCTATTTTTGCCTATGCTATACTTTTAAAGGTCTACCTTAAATGACCCGTGTGTAGGATTGTTGTTGTGCTGTGAAACTCATAATATGCGCTATCTAGAGCCCGTGTTTGGTTTGACCATTTGGGGCTTTACTGTAGAAACATGGCAGTTCAACATGGCAGATTCCGTAGAAGAGGACCCTGCTCTTTCTGTAGAAAACAACTGCTCATTCTAAGGTAACAAAAACACAATGATTCTTTTTTACAGGTGATTATACATTAATGAACACATATATTCCATTTCTGGCAATAGATCCTCCATAGTGTTACACTCTGGACCGTCAAAGAGAAAACTTTGCCCTGGATATCAAACTTCATCCAATAAACATCATCATTATATATTTCCACTCCAGTTTGTCAAATCAATATCGACCACTTAGAAATTCCTTATTTTGTTAATTAAAGTTGACAGGATGGTAATTAATATGTCACAGTTGTTTTTAAGAATATATTACGTCCACTAAACATAATTACTGGGAATCAGTCCCACAAAGATTTCCAAATGTCTTGGATAGCACTCTGACATTACCCCTGCACACAAACAAATGTTGATTTTAGTGAAAATATCCACCAGACTGTTTTGATGGGCTTGATTTTAATGCATTTTATATTTTTTAAGCTACAAGCAGTGTGTGGTTTGTAATAAAAATGTGCTTAATGGAGTGAGATAATCAGGTGCATTGTTAATCATATGTCTACGATCTATGAATAATTTTTATTATGTGGCTTGGAAAAAAAACAGAGTCTTGCCTCCTTTTATTTACATAAAGAATAATTTTAGGAAAACACAAATCAGGACATTAAACTTAAGCAATCACATTAACATTTACACCTAATCAAGCACTAAACTTGGGAATTCGGAACATTTCTGAGAACATTTCTGGCTTCCTCAACTTAATTTGTATCACTACACCTGGTTTATGGGAACAAATGATTCTTTAAGGAGGTATTTAACCTGGTCTGTGACCAACCGTTCACTCAGCCCCCCCCGCTTTACCGCCCACTCAACCTCCAATGTCTTTGGAGTCACCACAAATACAAAAAAGCCTAAACAGCTTTTGGCAGTCACTGCGTCTAGTCAGTAGAGGAACATCAAGCACAGACTTGCACGCTGCTGGAAGGATCTATTACATTGAAAAAATTAGGAGAAGGCACAGTGTGACCAGACTGCTGCCTGAAAGGGACCAGAGCTGAAAGCACTGAGGACTGTGAGCAGGTAGGTAGCCCTCAGAACGAAGGCTGGATGACAAAATGCTCAGAGCAGAGAGGAGAAATGGATTAGTCGACCTATTTCACGTCAGCATTTTGTGAGCAGGTGCACAAATAGGTGCAGTAAAAAAGTCTAAATTATACATGCATTATGTGTGTAATGAAGACATGCTTCTATTTTTCCTCTACAAGCTGAAGTTGCTGTGTTTAAAAGGGCAATGAAGTGACTAACAGTTAATAGAATTTTATGTGCTATCTAATTTCAGTTGCTCAAATAACAGAGTATGTAACCATATTAATAAAGTAGATATACGTTAAACATTGTACAGGATTTAGTAACAGAAGAGGACACACAAATTTGGTGTTGGTGCATGTAATCATTTTAGTAAGGCATGCTGGCTTCTCAGTTTGAATTTCACGGTTTTAAATCTGGGAAGCTGGATCACAGCAGTGAGGTCAGAGCTGTGAGGTTGTTGGGTGATGACTAACTTTAGAGGGAGGTATCAAATCGATATGTAGCCTCAGCTGCATGCAGGGTGTGGGTTGTAGTTTGGCAGAAAATAGGAACTCTTTTCACATTAAAGAAACACACAGAGCTGTGGCTGATACTCTTCACACTGTAGTTGGTTTTCTTTCTATACCTGTGTTTCACATTGTGAGTCTGTAAAAAGCACCTCTCTTCAATGCAGTTACGCTTTCTAGGTCTGAAAGGACACAATCAATTTAAGAAATAAGACTAGAAAGTGGAGAATACACAGACTGATCAAAACATACTGCAACACATACCATGCTAAAGCTTCCTACATGTTCGGAACAACATATATGCATCGACTTGTCAGCCAGCTGAACAAATGAGCAACTCCACTGAGACGTGGATTTGAAGGAGTACCACCATTAGAGCTCACTTGACACCGAAAGGCCTTGTCATCAGGCTCGGTTTTGTGTGAGTTACACAGCTGAAGCTACTTTCTGTCTTGTACACACAGCTACAGTCAGTGATGTGTGGAGAAATGCAGTGAGGGACATTCGAGAAGCTACCAGATGCCATTTTGAGAGTATGTGGTCAGTGGTGCAGTCATCTGCGGTGGGTGGCTGAGAATCACTTGGACATGTCACGTACCACTGACACACTGCACAATTCGTTTGTCTTCTTTTCAACAAACTTCAAATAACTCAGCTGGCATCTTCTGGAGAGTGTTACTGTATTCCATGCTGTTAATACGAGAAGAGGTCAGCTTTAAGAAATGTCAAGGGATGTGGTGTTATGCACATGCAAAGATGAAATTACAGTCAAACATCACAAGGTTTGACCATGCATGGACAGCGAAGAATTCACACACAAAATCTTTTTTCTGTTAATGTCAGTGTGCAATAAAGCAGAGTTAGTTATGACAAACTGTCAAAGTCTACGGGAGCAAATAAATGTCACAAGGATCTTTTTAATTATGTTATGTTAGTTATTATTAGATAAAAACAACATATTAGGAAAACAGACTCACCTGTCAAAATTATATTAATATTATTTTGTCCTTTATGATTGTGTGTGCAGAACATAACAGAGTGAGACATATACAAGCATAACATCAACAGTAAAGAGTAAAAGAAAGACACAGGAAGGCGAGTATCAGCACAAACTCTAAGGGTTGACTCAGGGTGAAAAGCTGGATATATTTCCTTTCTGCTAGAGTAGTCCAACATTTCAGATAGCTCGTCTCTAATTTTAAGCCTGGTGACTTGTTATGTTGCCTGCAGTGACAGTCAGCCTGCCTTCATACTGGTTATATGTAATGATGTTTTGAAGCATGGCTCTTATTTGTATAGAGCAAGAGAAGTTTACTGTAGAGCAGCCTGCAGCAACAGTTTTTAAAGTCTCAGGGACAGTGACTAGGAAAGATATTCAGGATCTATTGACAGTTATTTTGTCTACAACGTCCCCTCCCCCACAATTTAGAATTAATTAAATCAGATGGGAGCCTCAGCCAAACATTAAACTATAAATGTAATGAGCTAAAATTGCAAAACTATTCAGTGGGAGGAGAGAAGAGTGGGTATCCTTTAATGCAAAATGACTCCTGCCAAGATGTCTCCTGTTGCAGGCTGTTTTGCTTTTACCATATGCGTTGTCTAGTTCATTTTCAAGATCCACCAAGAGCCAAGATCGCTGCTGGAGCACAGAACCTTTCTGAACATATGCTGGAGCATGTGTACAACTAAAAATAAAACACTTACTTTCCAAGACAGCAGGTTTTATTTTCAGTGGGGTATCAGGACAGGCTGTAAATATTTAAAATTTGGGGGGGAAATTTTAAGATTCAATATCTAATAATATTATGGTGCAAGTCCATGTTTTAAATGGACATTTCAGCCTTTATACAATTTTCTAGTTGTTTAAAGCAACTGAAAATATATTTTCTCAGCTTCTTATTATAAGCAACTGATCACAGATTAGCAGATTATGTAAGTTATTATAGTTTTTGAGTCTTATTCTCTTAATAAATAATAACAATGTTGTTCTTTTTTAAATTTAGTCATGAATATTTAACGTTACAGAGAAATAGAAAATCTGAGGGGTTTCAAAGCTTCACAGGAGTTAGAGCAGGTTGAGTGCACATGCATTTGCTAAACCAGGCAGCATACTACAGCAGCTATTTACTTTTACAGTAGACAGATTTAAAATATCGCTTGTAATCATTTGTAAGCACTTTTGGTATAGGCATTTTTGCCAGAGTTTGTACAGCTATGGCAGCATGTATGTGTAGCAATCAAAACATCCATAATCATAAGGAAAATTCTAAAAATAGATATTTTAAAGGTATAGGAAGGGGGGGTATCAGTAATATTATTATATTAGGTCATCCAGGTAAACACACAAGCACAATGTTATTCACACTGAGCATAAAGAAAAATTCAAACAAGACTCACCTCTTCATGTCAGCACTATTTTCTGAAAATATAGGTTCAGCTGCAAAGTTATAAAGAAAATGATATTAATTGCCTATACGTAACCACACCTACTCTAAGTCCCTGTCCAATGAGAAGGTTAAGACCTCTTAACTGGAGTGTCATTAGGTCAAATTTTACAAGAACAAAAAATAGTAATGGCATAAAGTGAGTGCATGTGACCTTTCATAACAGAGAGGAGACATGACTCATGTAACGGTTTAACAAGTGTTATATGAGTCAGTTGTCATGTAACAGTTAAACAGGTGTCATATGAGTCAGTTGGGATCATGGTCACTCTCACTTTAGAGGTTTTATATAAATATACTTTTGATGTCTTTAAAGACTTTTCAAACCAAATAATGCTGGTGGGGGGTGAACACATTCCTCCTCAGACTCAGTGTTTCTTTTGAAAAATAACATTCATCATTAAGTAAAAAAAGTTGATAAGTTGTTTTAATCAAGTGAATGAAGAACTACAGGTCTGGTTAAAATTGTGGTGTAAAGTTGCATGCTGCCTCTTTTAGCTGCTTTTTGTAAATCCTGTTAAGAGGTAATTTAAAATATGGTATTTAATCTTGATTCTTGCATATATTTCTTCAAATTGTACCACAAATCAGCTAATATTAATCAGAACTGGGAGGCTGTAGCAGTGGCAGTATCTACAGTATTTTAAAACTAAGCCTAACTCTTCACCTGGTTTATTTAAGGCTTCAACAAGTTCCTTGCTTAATTAACACCTGCCTGTGAAGGATTCCTGAGATAGATATTCATCCCATGTTAAAGCCAACAGTTAGTGTAAATAACATTGGTTGCTGCCTCTCACTGACTGGTTAGAGTAACTGCAGTGTGCTTTGGAAAATAACATCTGAGCAGTTTAGCACAGCTGATTTTCCTCCAAAACTTATAAATAAATCTCTGACAACCTTTGAGTGGCATCTGATTAAATTTTCTAAAAGAGAATGAGCAATTAAAAGCACACATCAAGACAAAGACTGACACCTCAAACTCAGAGGAGACTGTCAGTCCATATCACTGATTTGCTTTAAAGTCACGTTTACAATGATAAAGATTTCCTTGTGTATCCTCTGTCTTTTTTGTTGCAGAGCCTTCTGAATCAGCAGAGCTCAAGAGGAAACCAAGATGTGGAAGAGGTCAAAGGTGACCGATCAAACTGCCGCTGGGCAGGCGGGTAAGTGCAGGGTGATGGACACCCTCTCTAGTTAGGTCAGTCAAGAGCTTGGTATTGCAGCTGCCTCCACCTGTATTTCCTTTTATCTGAGGAACAATGATGAACTGGATTTATTTGACAACTAATCTTTATGCAAAATAAAGATGAACAAGGCATTGCATTAAAAAAAAAAAAAAAAAAAAAAACCCTGCCAGACAAGAAAACCCACGGGAAGCTTATCACCTCACAGATTATATTAAAGTCTGTGTCCACAAAAAGCATCTTTTTTGAAGACGAATACTGTACCGAAGATGTCTGAATAATGCTGTATTATGCCGAGGACTGACCATTTCCACTCAGAAGAAATGAAGATAAGCACCACAGCTTTTTCTTTTGTCAAGTGGAAGCAGTCCAAATCAAATTCATGTTTTTTCAAATCCCTGCACCATACAGAATATCATCCATGATGTCAAGAAAACTCAACTGCAAAGACCATTTTTTGTCAACAAAGACACAGATGTTACTTTCCAATAGACGTTTTTCCAAACCAAGCAGCGAGGTTGAATGTGACACTGCCCATGTCATCAACTTCTGCTTCCCATTGTGAAGATGTTGGTCAAATAAATGACCACAGGCACTACAGATGCAAATAAGCTGTAATCAAAAGAATGTCTTCATGACAAAAGAAATGTCAGACAAAGAATAGAATTTGAGTATATTTGAAGAACCACATGATGGTTGCAAGGATGAGCAAAGAAATCATCATGGAGGATCAATGCAACAGTTGCTGGCCAGAAAGAAAATTGAAAGTGAAATGGTGTTTTTGTTTGATAGAAGACAAAATTTAAATTAATTTCCAACAAATTGCTTTTCCACAAAATATTTGCACATAATTTCTCTCAAGCACTGCGCAGGAATCATCCTGAGATTTCAGCCATGAGAAAATGCCTGAGCGAGCTTGAAGTTAAGTCTAATCAGCAGTTGCACAGCAGTATTTACATGCTGCTGTAACAACATATTGCTAACATACTGTATTATATTTTGTCTATGACTAACCATTCCTTGTTGTATGATGTGTCCCTAGATATTTTGTTCTTCCTCAGTGTGTGTCTGTGTGTCTGTGCTTCCCATTCCTGGGTTACACTGTATATTGTGGTGTTTTATGTTCATTGTGTCCATAATCCTGTCGAAGTTCCAACTTGCCATGGTGCTTTTGTCAGGATTAATATTTACCTGTCCTGTTCCCTCTCCTGCTGTCACGTTGCGTGTTAAGTCGACGATTCTGAGGGAGTTCACCCAGACGACAAAGGTATGCGAGCAAAAAAAGAAATCAAATCACACAAACGATTCACCTTCTGTTAAGTGCATGACTCCATGTTGGGTGAGTTTGCATGTATGATGTGGTCTCCATCACTCTTTGAAAGGTGTCATCCAAAATGGATGATTCAACTTTCAGTGTCACAACAGATGCATTTCATTGTGACATTCTCAACAACCAAGGTTGTTGCCAGAGGGCACTGCGGTTGATTTTCATGTGTCTAACTTGTAATTTAAAGGGAAAATGCCACTTTTTTAAAACTTATGTCAACATGTTGGTTAGTACTGTTGGCACAGTTCAGTCTCAATAGGTGAACTTTCTCTACAGGGGCATCTCAAAGGAGTGGCATGATCTCTCCTAAAATCTAGCTAATCTAAATGGCCACCCCAGTCCCTCTTTAAAATCACAAAATTCTTTAGTCTGAAACATAATTAACGTGTAAATTTGGTTTAATACTGTTTAACTGCAAACTACATGCATTTAGTATCCATAGAAAGACTACAAGAAAATCATATTTGAGGCTGTATTTTTATACAATGAACACCAAGACAAACGGAATCACCCTTTAAAGTTACCCTTTCTGTATTCCCTTGAGATTTTCGGCCTTTTCATGCCTGACCCACATGTTATGCTTGGCTTCACTGTGACGACAAGGACTGTCACAGATACAAAATTGCATTTTCTATGATCCTAGCAGTTCAAAGCAGGTCTAAAAGAACCATGTGCTGTCAAGTTAACACAGAACATTGAGGTCTCGAGGTAATCAGCCGGAATGACACCCATGACCTCTGGAAGCTCTTAAGCCTCACCAAACTCTCAATATCTTTAGATTTCTTGTATTTCTGCGACAGTTGCTGTGAAGAATTTGGGGCAACACAAGTACACAGTGCTCTGAGGTATGAGATCATACATGGCAAGTGTCATTTTCTGTTAACATGGCCATGGAGCAAGAGGTGTTAGTTTACATCTTAAAAAAAACAGAAAACTTTGCAGTAAATCTGATAAAAATCTGAGTGATAAACTGTAACTAATGTAGTCACTGACAGTGTAGGCCAGTAGCAGAATCTAATTCCATTGGGACATAAACAAATGAAAAAAGTTCAGCATTAGTTTTTGTACATGCTTTCCAGTTACAAATAGGACAGCTGAGCGGCAAAGAACGGCAAAGTTACTGCAAAGTCCCAAGCCAACAATGGCAGCTGGCTAAAACTGCACTGATGAGAATAAACAGAACAACAGTGGGAACATGTTGATGAGTCAGCAGGTTCGGAAAAGCTTTCTGAATGAACTCTTTATCATTCATTCATTCATTTGTTCATTTATTTATTTGGAAAGGCAAGGCAGGTGTACTTAGAAAGCACCTTTCATACACAAAGGCATTTCAAAGTGCTTTGTAAACCATAAAAGACTGGAATGAAATAGGAAAAAAGAAAAATGTAAAAAGCTACAGGAAATTACAAAGATGAAAGCACAGAGAAAGAGAGGAAAAGTGCAGCACTCAAGTGCAGCGACTAAATACTTAATTTTCAACTTAAAACATGGTTAGAAAACTGTAATGTCTTCTGAAAGTTTGTCGAAGCTTTGTGTAGCTTTGTGATCAACATTGTGCGATGCAGGGATACAAAACACACATAGTTCATAGCAGTCAGTGAGTCTATAGATACATTTAGTGCGGAATTAAACAAACTACACACTACTCAAAAAATTTTATTAAATGAAATTAAAAACTGAATGAATGCATAAGAAGACAAATGATTGGGGAAGACTTTAAAAACTATATTCTTATTCTATTCTACTATATTCTATATTCTTTCTGATAAATTGCTTCTCAACGAATGACTATTCTGGTAATAATTCATCATCATGAAGCTCAACATCATGCAAAACAAAATAAAAAACCTTTCGGAAAATGTATTTAAAAAAAAACGAAAGTAGGGACTTTAAAACAACAATGTAGTTCTGTAGAGAACTCTTAAACAGAACAAGCAGTCCTTTAGTGCAACTGTATTAGAAACACGATAAGAGCAGTCAAGGTATTTACAGCCACAGGCATTTCAGACAAGGACTGAATGAAAAACCTTCAACTTTATAGTGATTGCAACCCATGTACATGCTTATCTGTCTGACAGCTGTCGAGATCTATTGAAAAATAAGATATCAAGAGTCTGGTGATGTTTGCAAATGCTGATCTAATATGACTCATGTATATGTAAGTGCTCCACTGCATGGCAAGCGGTTCTGGCCTACGAAGGGCATTATTCAGCTTGTACCGTGGGCAAAAAATTAAGACCATTATATTTATGTTTTCATGAATTTTGGAATCAAAATCTAAATTCTTTCACAATCCATAACTCCATTTCCATTGTAACAACTGAGGGTTTGACTAATACCTGGAAGAATCATTATGTTGTTCACTACTCCAGTAAATAGGATTACGCTTAGATAAGAGCTAACTTTAGCAAGATTCAAAGTCAATAACACTGCGTACAGTCGTCCAACGGTAAATATCATTTGACAGTATGTTTAACAATAAGACTAGTTATTTATCCAGCCATGTCATTGTCCCCCAAAAAATTGTAAGGGATGTGCAAGTTAAAGCTGCAGCCTAAAGTAGCGCGTTGAATGGTCAATGACATTTGAGATGATTGCTTACACAAAGTATCAGTAGCTCCAGAGGGGCAGTGTAGAGGCTTGTGTGTTACAGTCGCAGCATTGAGTATTTATCCAGACCACGGTATGCTGTATTTTACACAGCCTTTATCAAGCACATGAGTCACATTAAATCTGCTCAAGTAGGACAGGAACATTATGAATCTGTCTGTACCAAATGTATGCCAATTATATTCCATCAAATACTTTTTGCAGACTGACTCATAAAATCAATGCCTGGCTTAAACATGCAGCTTTAATTGCTGTTCTACATTAAATGACTGATCAATATTTCCATGCAGACATATTGCTTTAATGATGTCCATGTCATCCTCGCGATTCCACAGCGTGAACGCTCTGCTTGTTAACAGCAGCAAAACTCATGTAATGTTATCAGCGCTCTGCCGCGCACACAGTATTGTAGCACCTGCTGCAAGAAATTCACTTCCAAAGCGCTTCAGACTGCAAAACGCTGGGGCACCCTGCTCATTTCTCCTTACTTGAACTATATATTCTATAGTTTATATTCTGCCTATTGCAGGTCTTTCATGGCAAGAGAAAATATTTAAAGACCAGGGATGCATGGACCAGCTGAACCCCTGTGATCAGCATTCAGAGATGCCCCCCTCGAGATTGCAGTGGGTTAGTCCATACTCTCAGGGTTTCTGGGACTTCTGCAAAGCACTTAAATCTGCTTTAATGTCTAATTCTAAAGACACGCTTAACAAGTGCAGGAAAGATGGACTATCATCAGGGATATAATTTTTACCCTGCGGACCCTCTAGAAACCGCAGGACAGTGCTTTTTTTGGCCACATGAAAACTTTTCCCGGTTTTGAGTGCTCACAATTTAGACTGAACTGTGCTAGAAATAATATTATGTACTGTATAGTTCAAATACAAACATAGAGTGTTAAATTATATGACAGATCCACCTTCATGACTGTACATAAGAAACATGTCCACATGGCAAATCAGCATTAAACTGCTGTGGCCATTAGCTGCTTCTTAAGATTTAGGACTTATTTTCATCCAAATAGTGTAAGTAAAACAACTGAACTACCTACATTAAGACTAGAAGTCTGCACAACTCTTCACTAAACTTGGAACCATCTATTTACAACATATGAGGTGTGCGCAGAATGTATAAAACTTGTGAAATGCATTTTTAAATGTAGAGTAAATCATATACTTGAGTGGACACACAAAATGAACTAGTAATTTGGCTGACATAAGAATTAGTGGATAAAGATAAACATTTTATCTTACATTTTTGTGAAATTTTCAAGCTAGAAATGAGAGTTGTGACTGTAATATTTTATTGTTATTAAACCACAATGAATATAAAGTAAAATATGAATTGTTGCATATGCTAATTAATATTAACCACTCACATTTTCAACATCACATAAACACTGATGTTTATGGCAAGAATATTGAATTTATTACAACACAAACTATTAGCTTATTACGCCTGATACTTACATAAATAAAGGCAGATCAGGGGTGCATGTTGATATCAAAATAAAACACACTAATATCAGAAGTCCAAAGTACAGAAAACTTGGCTATGTCTTTTTCTTTTACAAAGTTCTGAATGGAAGGATTGTTGACCCTACTGTCGTTCTTACATACTGCTCATTATGAGCACTCTTAATCCAGTGCGAGTGCTCCATGTTGTGAGGGTGCAGTGTCAGAGAAAAGCCAATACACAGGAGATGTAGAGGTGGAGATGTAGAGTAGGTGGGGATGTAAATTAACCCTCTTGCATTCTGTTCTTGCAAAAAGAACAATGGGGTTTTTGCAAAATACAACAAACTTTTGGCAGGGTCATATTTAAGGTGGGGGAGAGAGCCATGCTAATTTGGTTCAGAACTTTCGCACTAGCTTGTGTTATCCATGTTAATACATCACTCAGTTTATAAGAAAAATGATGGATGATCTTAAATAAATATTAAGAAAAAAAATTAATGAATAGGATCACAAAAAATACTGGAATGAGTCACCTCTCGGTAGTTATTTTGTCTTTTCTTGAAACATTATTGTGGCATTTTATTCCAAAACAAGTTGTTTTCTTTAGATAAACACTTGTCATGTATGTTTGTGACTGTGAGCGTGAGTATGAGTTACGCTGACAATTTGTCTGGGTTTTAGATTTGTATTTATTATCCACTAAATCTGCCTCAGTTAAAAAAAAATGTTTTCTTCAAGATACTGAACTTTATAGAGGTGGCTCCTCAAAATAAGCTATTAGCATTTTCATGCCTAGTTAAATATGTTGTATGTACTGTATATTTAATTTGCGCCCTCTATATGTTGTACTTGTCTAATTGTTAATTTATTTGATCAGGCATCAAGAAGAAGTCGAAAGTGCCCGGCGTCATGATAACGCAGTTTATAGAGGAACTTCCAGAGGACATGTCAACTCCAGATTTCACCCGCAAACCAATTGCTCTGACTATTCAAGAGGGTAAGTCTTCGTGTTTCTGAGAGATCAACATAAAGGTCCAGTGCGTAACATTGAGGAGGATATATTGGCAGAAATTGTATATAATATTCATAGGTATGTTTTCATTAGTGTATAATCACCTGAAAAAAAGAGCCATTTTTATCTACAGAATAAAGGCCCCCGTGTGGACACACCAATTATGGGAGGACAGCAAACTTTTGGAATCAAAATCAAAATTCTTTTACAAGCCATAACTCCATTCCCTTTGTAACACCTAAGGGTTTGACTAATACCTGGAAGAATCATTTCCATCACATATGGTTCTTATGCAATGGAAATGTTGTTCACTACTCCAATAGGTCACATAGTTTATTATTAGGGTGAAAATCTTCCAAAACACATATTAGTTCCTTAATTGTTGTTTTTTAATTATTATTAGAAACAATGATAGCAGTTTTTTGTAATGAGATGGCACACACTTGACTAGAGCTGAACAAAAAGTGGATCACATACCCAGAAATGATGAAACTTGTTAAACAGCATTTGAAACAATAAAGCATACAGCAATGCATAATTTGTCACTACCGTGTAACAAGAAAATCTTCATTCTATCCCATTCCAGGTAAATTTGCAGTCTTTAAAGCCATAGTGGTGGGCACTCCAACACCTACTGTAACATGGAGCCGAGCAAATGGAGAAATACATTTTCACCCGGATGTGTGTCAGCAAAAGTATGATGAGACATCTCATGAACACACCATTGAGGTAAGCTTGACATAGAGCAGTTGAGGTATAAATGATGACAATCTGCAATAATCCCTAAAGGAATGGTCACATTACGTTTCCGTTCAATGAAATGTACCCTCTCTTGGCCTTGTAAAAGGACTAGATGTCTCGTTTCTGATACTGATAATAAATAAACACTGATCAGAGTGATCACAGCACAGACTGTAAACTAGAGGTTTACTGATAGTGGATTTTTTGATTATGTTCCCCTAGGTCTAGCCAAAATTTTCTAAACATATCACCATAATAATGCATTGAAGTGTGTGTGAAGATTTGCTTTCTAAAAACATACATTGAAAAGCACTGAGTGCCAGAAAGACCAGCAGATAGTGATAAAAACATTGACAAATCGATTAAAAGGTCAACCTATACTGTAAACAGTGTATGACGGCAACACTACTTTTTTTTGTCTAATACTGTGCTAATGTATACATTAGAATAAAGTTTCCTTTGGCCAAATAAGCAGATCTGTTCGGTCAAAGTTGAATGAAGGTGACCTGCAAATCCATCTGAGTGAATATATTCCTGCACCTAAAATGTAATGCTGCTATGCATTAAGACTCAGACTGCTTTCAATGATAATAAAAATGCCATTAACTCTGTGTTTGTATTTCATTAGTTTCCTAAAGTCGCTCCAGAGGATGCTGACACCTACAAGTGTTTTGCAACAAATGAATATGGAAAAGCTGTTTGCACTGTTGTCTTGAATGTTATTTCGGGTATGATCTTTATTATTATTTGAATTACTGTTTCTCTCAAGTGTGTTAGATAATAAATTCATTACATATCCTGAGAAGTTGGCATATTTGTATTGAATTGTGACAGACAGGTAATGAAAAAATGTTTGTCTACAGTTGGATTCTCTAAGAGCAAGGAACTTCAAAAGAAACCAGTAGAAGGTGAGGTTTCAAATACATTTGACACTAAGTTTTATCTGAAGAGGTGTGCTAATTTTACAAATGTATTTTTTTTGTTGGCTGTCAAGTCAAGGCTCAGCATTATAAGGCAAAAGGTATCACAAAGAGAGCTAATATATACAGTACTTTCAATGCCCTTGTCTGACACAAATAGCACTCAGCAGCAGACAAACTTGCACTGCAATTAATAACACATTTATCACATTTTTACAAAAAACACAGGGAATTGGGCAACTGGTGTATAAAGATGAATAGAGGTTGATGTTTTTTTATCTATCGCTATCAATACTTGGGATGATACATTCACTCAGTTTTTTGTGCTACAACCTAGCCCATATATTTTCATTGCAACATGACATTTCATTCATTAATTGGAATTATTGGGAAAAATCTGCCTGCCATAGTGCATCTGTCACATCGGCACGATGCCACTGTGACACTTGACATATTAATGGCTCTCTTAGAAATTGACTGGAAAATGTGAACAAAAGCAACCACAATCATGTTAGGCTGTATGAACCCAACACAAAGTGCTATGGTTCACCAACCTGGATGGTTTGAGATCGATCGCCTTTATTTTTGTTATAGTTTCCTTTTTGCCCATGAATATCAAATGGACTTAGAAAGATCAGGCCAGTTATTCCAGGCTTCTCTGGCCTGAGCACTGTTAAATGTACATTGTTAGGAGGATCCACTAGAAGAAAAGTAATGTAATATTTATTTGTATGTCTTCTTTAGTGTACAATTACCAGAAATAAGAATTGTTGTGTTTTTGTCAGAATGAGCCATTTTTATCTACAGAAGGGAGCGGGTCCTCTTCCACGAAGGCTGAGCTTCTACAGTTGCCCAGAATGGACAAATCAAACACTGGCTCTTGATAAGACAACATTTTTTGCGCGTTCATTTTATTAAAAAGAAAACAATTCTCATGGAGCTTTAATAAAAACATTATATTTACATTGCCAATACTGTTAAATTGAAACTGCTCTTTTTGAACACTATTGTAAAAGACGAAGCGTGGCATATGCATATGTAGTGATGGACTATTATTCTTCGTTATGGTTTTCCCAGATCCAACAGAATTCAGAAAAAGACTTAAAAAACGGTGAGTAAAATACTGCATACTTGGCTATTTGTCTGTTAAAATAAAGTGTTATGGTATCTTTTTATCCTACAGTGAGTCTGTCTTTCCATGATGGAAGGGAACATTTTTTAACTTTTTTTACTCTACAGTAATCCTGATGGAACACGTGAGGTAAAGCCAATGGAGCCAGAGGACAAGGTCTGGGAGATCCTCCTTAGTGCAGACAAGAAAGACTATGAGCGCATCTGTGCTGAATATGGTATCACAGACTTCCGCCACATGCTGAAGAAACTCAATGAAATGAAGAAAGAGAGAGAGGAGGAGATTGCAGAGGTACGTGGTCTTTTGGTTTTCAACAAAAATGTTAGCATCTCTTTATGACACTAACCTGAATGTTAATTTTTGGTGTTTGGTTCAAAATATTTTTTTATAATTTTGTTTCTGTCTCTTTATTTATACTGTAGTTTGTTTCACATATCACTAAACTGAAACATATTGAGGTCAGCGATGACGACTGTGCAACAATTGAGTTGGACATGGACCTCAAGGATCCTACCAGCAAGATTTTCCTGTACAAGGTGAGGCTTCACTGCTGTCTCCAATATTATTTTACTGCATTTTATTATCAGTTTAAAAATGACAACATGTCCCTAAATTCTGTAGGATGGCGTTATGGTTCCATTCACCAAAGAAGACAGCGAGGATTTGAAGCATAGTTTGAAACAAGTTGGCAAGAAGTATGTCTTCAAAATTAAAAAACTAGGTTCAGAAGATGCTGGACTCTACTCAGTGGATGTTGAGGGCGTCAATGTTTTCTCCACAGATTTTAAAGGTATGTCTTCAATCAAGGGATTAAGATTACATTAGCTTAAATTCATTTACTTTCCAATGATCAATGATATATTGTTGCTCTTCTGCAATTTGAGTTGACCAGCCGCCACTGACAGTGTACAGAATAAGTAGTTTGGAAAGTGGATGGGACACACTGAAGTAATTCATTTGTCTTTCTCTGCTTCTTTTTTGTCTTTCTGTAATATCACAGTACCTGAAGTTGACTTTGCTGTCAAAATACAAGAGGTTAAGGCAACAGAACGAGAGGATGCCATGTTTCAGTGTGTCCTGACAGCACCTATGAGTGAGGTCAAATGGTTTGGTAAAAGTGCTCCGCTGACAAATGGTGAGAAACATGAAATCATTGTGTCAGAAGATAATCTTATCCACAAATTGATTGTCCGGGACTGTTTGCCTTTGGACGCTGGTATCTATGCTGCTGTGGCTGGAATCAAATCCTGCAATGCCTGGCTTGTAGTTGAAGGTAAGAAAATGATTCTCTTGATGCAGTACAAAGTCCAGTTGCATACATAATTATGATATATTGTGCAGATACATTCTGAAATTAACATTAAGCTAAAAATTATAAATACATTTGCAATATTATCTTTTATAGCCGACAAAGATCCTGCCAACAAGGGCAAGAAGGCTGCTCGCAAATCTACTATGGCTGGAGGTGGCAATGAAGATGATCTGATGAAAATAGCTAAGGAACAGCAGGAAAAATATCAGAAAGAAATGGAAGAAAAAATGGAACTTGCCAAAAAAGCCCAAGCAGAGAGAGAAGCTGCAGAAGCAATTGCCCGAGCAGAGGCTGAAGCAGCTAAAAAGGAAGCAGCTGAAGCCAAAGCAGCGGCCAAGGCAGCTGCAAAGGCAAAGAGGGCAGCAGCTGGCAAGGATGGAGCTGCAAGGAAATCTAAGAAAGGTGCAGCAGGTGGTGCACGCTCTGCTGAGGATGGTGCTGGAGGAGCTGGAGGAGCTGGAGGAGCTGGAGGTGGTGCAGGGGGTGATGGAACTGAGGGTGGCAAAGGTGGTGCTGGTGGTGGTGCTGGTGGTGGTGCAGGAGGAGGAGGTGATGGAAGTGAAGCTGGAGCTAAAGGTGGAGCTGGAGGCAGAGCTGGAGGTGGTGAAGGAGGAGATTTTGATGAAGAATACGATTCCTTTGAAGATTCTGATGAAGAATTTGAGGGAGCAGAAGGAGCAGGAGGAGCAGGAGGAGCAAGAGGAGCAGGAGGAGCAGGAGGAGCAAGAGGAGCAGGAGGAGCAGGAGGAGAGGGGGGAGAGGGAGGAGAAGGTGGAGAAGGAGATGGAGAAGGAGGTGGAGAAGGAGGGAAACGCAGGAAACGTGCGAGAGAGGGTCCACTTGTTCCAGATACAGTAATAGGTAAGTGACAACAAAAGATTGTCTCCAAAATGTCACAGTTATTCTCCTAATGCCTATCAGGATGCTATTCAATATAATCAGATTTATAGAGAACCTGTTTTCATTTTTGGAATTATTATATTATATAAATTATTCAGTCCCTTCAGGATTTCTAAATTTTTGGGGGATTTTTACAGTATAAAATGCCTGCCTGATTTCACAGCAGATTGGGGGGGACTGCAATGCATGTTACAATGTTTTTAGGCATTTGTTGCAAAGAAATGGGGATAGAAAGTGAAACTTGCACAAACAGTTTAAAATAAAGGTAAAATTCAGTCCAATATGAAGGCAACTGTCCCGTGAGAAAGAAATTGCTGTTTGGAAAGGGTCTATGTAAGACATATATGTTGCACTTGTCTGCATCCTCACAACTAGAAACAAGGAAATGAGTTTGGTGACATATGGCTCAACATTTTGCACAGGAAACTACAATTATTGGTCAAATTTGCTTACAAGTTACAGTGATGGGACAAAATTACATGGTTGCACAGATTTCACAGGGATTGGTTGAATTTGCAGTAATTGTTGCGATTGCAACATCGCAACTTCCTGGAAGGACTGATTATACTAGTAGCATATAAGGTATTTTTATTTTGTTGTTGTTTGTTTTCTGTGCTTTGAAATTACTCTCCTCTTTATTTCTTCTGTTCATTGCACAGTTACCTTTATATGTTACTCTTGTTTGTCTTTTCCATTAACTTTCATATTAATTATAAAAGTCTATTAATCTTCAAAACTGAAGAACAATACTTCTATAAACATACATATTATATATAATTCTTTAGGTCAACATTATGATAATGATAGCACATTATTGCATTTAGATATACATGACAATCTATATAAAGTTGCTATTTATTATCACTAATAGGAGATAATAATGATGAGGAAACCACAAATCAACAAGGTGAAAAATCTGGGAAAAAAGGAAAACGTCCCAAAAAGAAAATTGTGGAGGTTGAAGAACCTGTTGTTGGTAAGAGATGTCAAAGGTTGCATGCTGTAGACAACTTACTGACTATTAAAGTCATTTGGGAATGAAAATGACTGACATTTCCTACACAACTAGGAAATGGAAATTCTAAACACCTCCTAACTTAGATGCAGCTGAATTAACAATAAATGTATAAAATAACACTGACCAAAATAAACCACTGACACATCAGGTTCTACACTGTTCCGCTTTGCCAGTCGTAGAGTTAGTGCAAAGCTCCACCTGACCCGGGCGAATTTAAATATAAATATTTAACAGTATTTCAGAACGTCAGTATCTGAACTTACTATGTCCAGGATTTTTCAGATTGTAGTATGGGTTTAGGGTTTAGAGTCTTCAGGTTGAGCGCCTACATTAAAAAGTACGAAGATTAAATTCCACACATGGTTTTCATTCCGAAGACATTTGAAGATCCTTTATGTAATTAACTCATTAACTGTCTGCTAAATTTAGCAGGAAGTTAATTAACTATTTATCACTATCATTCACAACACTGATTAATACATCTTAATTCTATACATCTATATCTTAATGTTTGTTTTGGTGCCTCTTCTGAGAAACAGATAGCAATATAGCATGTATATGCTATGCTAAATTCTGCTTTCTTTTATATCTAATCCTTCACCTAAATAAATATAGATGTGTTCTATATTAGTATTTTGTGCGTAATGTGTGTGCTTTCTTGTTTGTAGACATGTTTGTCTTCCTGTTACTAACATCTTGTTTAATTCATGTACAAGTTTGCTATGTTAGAGGGTAAAAAGGGGTGAAAGGTGAATTTCTGACGGATGTATTCAAGTTGATAACATAAAAGTGTCGGTTTATAAAAGATTTTGAGGTTTGGTGTTTTTGAGAAACGGAAATTAAAGTATCAGCACTTCTGTCACTGGTATCATTCCTTATGGTAAATTACTTTATGTAAGATGATACTCAAGAGCCAAACAGTCTTAACGGCAATAAGGAAAACTATCCACGCCTTTAGGTTAATTAAGTCACTTCACAATGACACCATTATGGAACTCATCTTGAATAGTGAGTTGGATATCACCTTTTCCACCAGCCTCTTCTTCTGCATTGAAGTTAATGTTTGTTATTTCTGTTGTTGCTGCTGATCTTGTTTTCATGCTCCATGTTGACATTTTAATTGTTATTGTTACTGTTTTCATTAATGTTATTTGTAAGGCATATCCAACAGCAAATGAGAAACATTGGATTGATGGTAATTACGATGATATCCCCTAAAACTGAAAAGCAAAAAACACAGAAGCGAGTGGTGCCAGTGGTGATAATGGCACCGGGCCAACAGCAGGCAGTGATGAATCTGCTGAAAATGGTGAGGGTGCAGACGGTGGTGAGCCAGCAGCAGCTGGCAAGCACTCAGGCCGTGCACGGCAAGGCCCATTGATCGCGGAGACAGTTAGTGGTAAGATTACTGGCGCTGCATTAATTGCTGCATGGGAAGCACAATCACTGAACAAAGTCATTTGATAAGCTGATGACTTTTCCAGTGATTTGAGGGTTAACAGAAAAAGTGTGTGACCACTGAGCAGAATGCTACACTTGATCTCTAATTGGTTAAATGGCCTTTTAGAATGATCAGAGAGTTCCGCAAGAGTGGATTTAACCTTCAGAGTGCCTTGAGAGTAAGAAATGCTAATCAAATTGGATGCACTAATGGTTTTTTTCATTCGCATACATTATAATAATTTCTCCAGTGAAATGAATGAAAACATACTTTAGTCTTATGTTCTGCAGACAATAGAAAATCATTAGTTAAATAATGTTATTTCTATGACCTACAGGTTGGATATCAGCAGGCAATGTATTGTTCAATATTTATGTGTCCACCTTCGTCTCTTATGTATTATGTTTGCAGAATGTTTGTGTATGTTTAAATGTACCTGTGCTTTATGTTAACACTCATGCTTGCCTTTTTAAATGTTGATTCAGGATGAGTCGGTGCATTGAGGTTAATTATTTAAATGAGCAACTGCAGAACTGATCTTGTTCTTGATATAACACCTACAACACTTGTGTGTAAACACACTCTTACATAATTTGAAGACAACCCAAGCTGACTTTGGAGGATGACCATGTTCTAAATCAATTTCTGCACATTGAAGACTGAATTCAGATCAAAGAGACCACATGCTAATTTCTTCCACTGACCAGGGCACTGTCAGACTTGAGTGGGATATTTTATATTTTAAATGTGTGCATTTCTTTCGAGAACAGCTAAGTGAACAGAGGCAAATGAAAGCTTCGGTGATGACAATCTGTGCCAATTCAACTCTGGAAACTTTTAAGTTGAAGAAAGTCACTACCAAACAAGACAACTGAGCTACACATTAACCAAGAAGACATCTTCATCAAGTTTCGAATGCAAAATGCAATCTTCTTACATCCCTATAGTCTCTTCAAATATGATGTTTTCTGACATTAAATCTGCATTTCAACATGTATTTTATAATAAATACATGATATCAAGAGAAATGCAGAAAGACAATTTGCAATGTTTGACTGAGGTAAGTGTGTAAACATCCATACATGGATGTTTGAATTCATTGTAATTGTACATCAACAATTACAAAAACTTGAAACTAAACAACAACTTGTATGCAGATGTTAGCGGTTGGCTGTGTGCATTCACTAACTTACTGGTTGATAAATCCTCAGACCCAGGAGTTCACTTTCATGCTGGGCTTTCTGACTGCAAAGCCATTATTGGAGAAGCAGCAGAGCTGGAGTGTAAAGTGAGCAGTGAAGAGTGTGAGGGAATCTGGTACAAAGATGGAGAGGAGGTAAGTCCAGGGTCTAAATGTGGTCATTATGTAACATTAATGTTATTAGCCAAACAGAAACAGGTGACTTTAATGATCCTATACGTTAGAGCTCCAAATGAGACTTTATATTTCTTGTGTTACAGTAATGTGTTTTTTTTTCCAGATTAAATCATCTGAGGGCATAACCATTGCAAAAGATGGCTGTTTCCACAAGCTGAAAATTCACAAAGTCACTGAGGAATTTGCTGGAAAATATAAATTTGAAGCAGATGGACGGAAGACAGAGGCCTTGATTGTTGTTGAAGGTAAAAACAGTCTCCTTGCAATTACTTACTTGCATAAAGTGGATGCATCATTCATTCGAGAGTGCCTGCAGATCAAGGTTGTGATGAAAACAGATTTTTAATAGTACTGCATATACTGTATATAGCATATGGATAGTACTCTGAAGTTGAAATAAGTACATAGATAGACCACCTAGAGAGTGCCTAAAATATCTGTCTGTTTTGATTTACCAATCATTGTAGATCCACCAAGATTTGATACTGAAGAACTGAAGACATTTAAAACCCCTGTAACCGTGAAAAAAGGACAAAAAGCTGCCTTCAAATTACCTTTTGTCGGACGGGATCCTGTAAAAATTCAGTGGTACCTTGACGGCGAAGAGCTTTCGGATACATCACATATCAAAGTAGAGCACTCAGAGGGTTACACCTCTCTGCTTCTGACAAAGCTGCAGCGCAAGGACAGTGGTGAAATCAAGATAAAACTTAAAAATGAGTTTGGCACAATTGAGGCCTTCAGCCAGATTGTTGTACTGGGTATGTATTCAAACATTTTTTATACAGAATTTTGTATGTATTTACACTGTAAGTAACCTACAAACTACCTGTCTAAACACAGATTCATATTTTACATACTACTTTATTTTTAACAGATAAACCCACTCCTCCAATGGGACCTCTGGAGATTGTTGAAGCCTCGTCCTCTGTAATTGAATTCAAGTGGAGGGCCCCAAAAGACAGTGGTGGCTGCAAGATAAACAACTATATCCTTGAACGAAATCAAGTTGGCCGCAACACCTGGAAGAAGGTGGGGCCAATCGGTCCAGATGCCAAATTCAGGGACTCTGATGTAGACCACGGCAGGAGGTACTGCTATCGCATCAGAGTGGAGACAGAAATGGGCACGAGTGAGCTGATGGAAACAGAGGACATTCAAGCCGGTACAAAAGGTAAACTTAGATCATCACGAAACTGTGTTATCTTAGAAATATCACTTTTTAGTAAATCTACCTTCTAGACGAAAAAAATATTTACACCCAAATCTTATTTGTAAACAGCATACCCTGGACCTCCATCAGCACCAAAGGTTGTCAGTGCCTTCAAGGACTGCATCAACCTCTCTTGGTCTCCTCCAGCCAACACTGGGGGAACCAATATTCTGGGATACAACCTTGAGAAACGCAAGAAGGGCAGCAACTTGTGGGGTCCAGTCAACCCACCTGAAGAGATGATAAAAAGTTGCTCTGTTCTTCATACATTATTTATGATTTATCATGTTATGACAGCCTGTGTCAACACAAAAGTGAAGGTCTAATGCTGTAATTCTTATATTGCTTATGTATTTTTTCTGTACAGCTAAGGGATTTGCAGTTAAAGATGTGGTTGAGGGCATGGAGTACGAATTTCGTGTGGCATCAATCAATAATTCTGGAGCGGGTGAATTCAGCACACCATCTGAGTTTGTATTTGCCAGAGACCCTAAAAGTAAGTGGACCTATAGAAATGTTATCACAGTCATTATTTCATATAGCCTACACATTGCAGCACTGAATATGAATCATGTGTTACAGAGCCTCCTGGTAAAGTCATAGACTTGAAAGTGACAGATTCCACCTACACAACTCTGTCCCTGTCTTGGACCAAACCCAAGGACATTAAGGGGGTTGAGGATGAAGCCAAAGGATATTTTGTAGAGATCAGGCCTGCAGAAAACACAGAATGGGATCGCTGCAATTCAAATGCTATAACCATGACTTCCTATACAGTGAAAGGCTTGAAGTCATTGGCCATGTATTGGGTTAGAGTCACTGCTACTAATGATGGAGGAGAGGGAGAGACACAGGAACTGGATAATTACATCCTTGCTATGCCACCTCCTGGTAAGAAAATTTAATTCAAAGTTACTTACGTCAAACATGTGTTTTTGTATATTTCAAAAAACTAATAATAACACAATCAGGTGCACATGAACTGCTTGGTGTCAATATGGTTGAATTATGAAGGTGGGACTACATTTGGATCAATAATAAATCCTATTTGAGGTCAAATGAATGACACAAATGATTGCGGCAGTATTGTATATTGGACTATGACATTAAAGATAATAAGGGGCGCTCGTGTACTAAGGCTGAGTCATTACCACAATGCAGGTTTGAATCCAGCTTGTGCCAACTTTTCTGAATATCACACCCCACCCGCTGTCTATCTTCACCTGTCACTATAGTCTGCCTATTACAATTCAATGTCAATGTCATAACAAGCCCCAAAAACAATATATAAAATTTGTGGCTGCAGTTTTGCAGTTGAATCTTGTCAATTTTCTGGTTTACTGTACCCTCATCATAAAAACTGATCACTATTAATGACCCTGCTTTTCACCTAGTGAGACCACGGTTAACTGATGCCAAAATCAAGAGTTTCATGGTGGTGAGAGCAGGAAATTCTGCACGATTCAACATTAACTTTGAGGTAATTTAGGAAGTAATTAAGATTAATTAAATACATGATAGTGTATATATAGCGATCTCATTTCGTCTTCTCATAAAATTATATCTTTGTATTCTTTGCAGGCCTCTCCTTGGCCTGATATCACCTGGCAGAAAGATGGAGGACCAGTGTCTAAAAAGGTGACCATCAGCAACACAGAGGGCACATCCCAGCTCCTGATTACTTCTGCTGAGCGCTCAGATACTGGAATCTATACAATCATTGTCAAGAACATTGTTGGCCAAGAAACATTCAGCATTGAAATTAGAGTCACAGGTGAGAAAATATTGCACCCTCTTATTGTATAATTTTCCTGTTCCATATTCTGTAGCTCAAAAGGAAAAAAACAACCTCTGTATTTGAACTCCAGATGAGCCTAAGCCACCAGGTCCTGTGGAGGTTGATGAAAACGTGCCTGGCACAGTGACCATTTCTTGGACCCCATCTCCAGATGAGAAACGTGATGACAGGCTGCACTACATGGTGACTAAACGTGATTCAAATAAAAGACAATGGCACACTATTGCAGATCGGATCTTCAACAATAGATTCACAGCCTGCAACATAATGCCCGGCAGAGAATACCAGTTCAGAGTCTATGCAAAGAATGACATGGGCTCCTCCAAACCGTCTGAATCACCAAAGTGGCTGATTTCTACCAAAAAAGGTATGTTATGGGTTTGTCTGAAAGTTGTCACTTTTCTGTACTCAGAAGAAACATTACCAAGACACAGACTTAAGCAAATACAGTACTAGCATGTTACCTACATCTTGCCTCTAAGCACTAAGGCTAAAGTGTTTTCCTTCCTTGTGCATCTTTCATAACAATGTTCAAAGATTATGGCAGCCAATTTACTATCATTTTATGACTATTTTTGTGCAGTACACTGACAAATTATTGCATGGGTCAGTACAAAAAATGCAGGTAACATTTATACAGCAATCAATCCTTCAAGCCTCACCTTCAATCTAAAGCCCTCGTTTTGGCCTGTAACTCTTAATGCTCTTACGCATCATCACCTTTCTTTGCTCCTTGTGGCAAGAGTTAAAGTCTGTCGATATCCAGCAGATTATTTTGGCTGATTGGGTTTTGACTTGATTTGATCCAATCATCACACCAAATGAAGTCTTTCTTTTTTGTGGCTATCCATAGAATTGTGATCCAAACTCCAAACCATTTAGCCATCACATTTTCTATTAGCACAGACACAGAAACAGAAGGTAAAAAGGATGTACTGTACCTGTAAATTTCCAATTATGGTTAAAAAAAAATTACCACCATCAGGCCAATTTTGAAACACGTTCTCCTGTTAGATGATAACAATTCTAATTCAATGCAATTCATATCTGCTTTCTTCCAGAAAAGTTTACTTTGAACATGCCGGAAACAAAGGTCTGTAATCTAGAGTGTCCTCCCAAGTTCATTGTTCCATTGAAAATGCACACTGCTCCTCAAGGGTATGAATGCTACATGAGCTGTGCTATAAAAGGGGACCCAACACCTCATGTGACATGGCTCCGCAACAATATCAGTCTGAATACCAACACTAACTACTTCATCTCCAACACCTGTGGAGTCTGTTCTCTGCTCATATTGAGGGTTGGACCTAAAGACACCGGGGAGTACAAGATTGTTGCAGAAAACTCTAAGGGGAGGGCAGAGTGCTCCACTAAACTGACAGTCAGAGGTAAATCTTTACCAGAGAATGCATTTTAAAGATGCTGTCACTATGTTTTGCATTGATATGCATGCTAGATTTTTCTCTTTGAAATCTGAAATAACTGCCTTTGTCTTTTTTTCCAGAATAAATGAACACAATGAAGATGGCAGAGTTGCTCTAAAACCCTTGCAGAAACAAGTTGTTGGTATTTCACATACTGCATCTTAAGCACACGCTGTCAAATGTAGAATGTAATATTATTTAATACCGCCTGTGATATCTTCATTTTAGGTTAACTATTTGATGAACAAATTCCAACAAAGGCTGGCATTTATTTAAAGTTAAACTCACAAAAAGGTCTTAGGCATATGAAAATTGCTGGTAAAAAAAAAAAAAAGCCACAATTATGTTTGGTTTCTTTATATTTAAAGTGCAATCTGAATAAAATGGAAGCTTGGAATAAGAATGTGCAATTTTACACATTTTAACTGTAATAACATGCATGTTTAACAGCAAAATTATTTACATTACTTGACACTGTAGAAGTGATCTTTTTGATTTTAAAAGTTCTATTTTAAGGTGTTTGTTTATAGCTAATGGAACTATCTGCTTGTGTCTTTCAATTTATTTTTAGATGCAGGTTTCTGTTCAAGTGATTAGATTTTTGGTTGCAATTGTTAGTTTCCCTTAATCTCCCCCTCAATTGAAACTGAGATGAGAAAAAAAAAAAAATACTGACATGAAAAATGTATGATACTGACTGTTACAGTCTGTTCTACATATGACAATATGTGTGGGTTTGGTGTAAATAAATATTTCATACTGCTGTTGTGATGTGGGATTTTTAATCTGATCTGCAGTTCCAAAAATAAATAAAATGCATTTATGTGAATAAAAATCCACAAAAAATACTATGCATACTGCATGTATGATGGTTATAGTCTTGGTCATATAATTGTTGCCCTGACTCAAGCTTTGGCATAGCAAGCAAGTATCAAAATGCATACCACTTGTTTAGCTCCATGAAGGTTTATGTGAATAATTTATGTCCAGTCTTCTTGTATTACCTCTCTTAGCATTTTTGTGGGGTCACACATTAGTCCAAGTTTAGAGTCACTTAAGAAGAGAGGGTGAACAGTCACACCCAGGTCTAAAACATGACTGACCAGTGCAGGATGACACTTCTCAGTTTCAAAGTTAAGTGCATATTACAATGCTAAATTACATGCTACTATGACTTTTTTTTTTATAATTCTGCTTCAGTCTAAAATGACAGTGAAAAGATAATTGTGGCTCATTAGTATTAGAATGAGGTTTGGCTTGTTTTGTTTGCTTTTCCTGTGAGTCAAAAGCAGTGTCTGAATAAACAAGAACATTCATGCAAATTGTCTAATTTTTGGGACAGGGTTTTAGCATAAAATTAGGGTTAATTAATTCTGACATTTCTAAACACGTTTTATTAAATATTTCTAAAATAAGCTAATGCAAGGATCTCAAATCTCTTAATTGACACTTACCTCTTGCTAAATGTTGGGATGACAATCAGGCAGCACATATACAATTAAGCTAATGGAGAAGCAGCTCAACCCGATGGTACTTATATGTCCCTTCTCATGAGATTTTTAAAAAGAGCAGCCAAAAGCCCCCTGCTGCAGTACTAAAGCTGACATTCCAGTTTTGAGGGAGGGATTAGTAAGCTTCACAGCTGTATTTCCTCTGGTGCCCATTTTTCAAGAACCTATAGCGCTTTAAGGCCAAAGTGCACGTCAGTAAACCTATCCTCAGGAGGCATAGTGAAAAAGCAGTGGGTTAGGTTGCTCTGAGGATCTCTGAAAGGCTTTATTGCCTCTCAAAACGACGAGCCCACACTCAGGAATCAGCTGGAACCTGGCTGGCAACACACAGCAGAGAACAGAATTTTATTTGAAAAAGATAGTAAGTACATTTACATTTACAATTGATGTAAATATGTATGCATTATTTGTGCTAATCTGACACTAGTTTGCACATTACTAAATATTACCCTTAGTGTAGTCATAAAAAAATGAGATCTCCCTAGATAGCCTAAGTAGGAATTCTTAAAGAATGCTGACAGCAGTTTACATGATTCACTTCAAAGCATTTATTGCCATATGCACAATTAAAAACAATTTCCCTGGACAATTAAATTCTTCTTTTGCCTTCCACTCATTCCACTATCTGTAAGAACTAACATGCTGAGCTGTAACAATATTGTTTATGATACATGTTTTAGGCAAACAGAATTGTCTAAGATTGGTGAGAAATAACAGAAATACAAAAAGAAAGATCAGTATCAGTCTAATGATTACTTGCAAGAGGGCTGTGGTGACTGGTAAAACTATACATACAAACTTAATCATGTATTTATACTAAAATCACTCATAAACCTTCCTTTTGCAAAGATCTAAGAGTTACAGTACTTTCCAAGCTTTAATGTGATTTTTATTTTGTATTTTAACACAAAAATTCACCATGTAAAAGTATATGCTCTGCCACTGAATGCAGCTCTGAGATTTAGGGCACAGACCTGACAAGTTATTCATAAATCAATTCACTCTTAACACTCTTGGCACAGCTATTTTCTCTCTCAGACAAATATAGCTTCACAGCAGTGCACCAAGTGTGCAAAACTGCTAAATATGCAGGTACTTCATCAAGTGATAGAACTCAGCATATTTTTCTTTAATTAGATTTAATATTAATAGTTTAAGTGGGTATCAAACTTAATCCAAGAACAAAAGGCTCCTGTCATTAGAATAATGAAATCATAAAAATGAAGGAAGATTCACAGAAGTATGGTGAACAAAGAGTTCTAACATTAGTTAATGCTTGAGCATTCAAGATACAATAAGATGTTTATATCACATATATAAATAAGTGATATTTACATATATGATCTGTCATCTAATTTAAATTTTACCAAATCAAATTAAATCTGAATGAAAATAAATGACTTTAAGTATAAATACATACATACATACATGCTTTTTTGAATTAAACCTTTTGTCAGTCTTAAAAATATGATGCTGTGTCTTATGTCATGTTTCACCATGCATGCTAATGTGACCTATTTGGTATTTGAGATTAAATTGTTTAGTAATAATAATAATTACAACAAGAATTAGTACCTTAGTGTCAAAACAGATCTCCACACTTGCTGGAATGCTTCTAAGATTAATTGATTTGTAACATACTTTGTTTTGACAGGCAGTAACTGAAGCTTGTCTTAAGGCCATACTGGCTGTTGAGTCCGGAGTATGGAACCTGACTAATTACACAGAGGTTAATCATGAATTCATTAAAGTGATTAAGGGGACATCACCAAATCAATAAATGACCACTTCATAGTTTCAGAAAAACTTTGATTTAATGACACAACCACAGAAAAAAAGTTTTTGTTGTTTTTAAATCCATATTATAACAGCTGTATGTAGTGGTACCTTTTCCATTCTACTTTGAACCTATTTCTCTGGATAATTCAGGGAGCAAAGAAAGCAAAACCTAAATATAAATATAGTTATGACTAATGTTATATTTGCACTCAGCTACTTGCGTCACTTCCTGAGTCATGATAGATAGTTTTATGAGGTATGTGACCTACTGCCAGCAAAATGAGTCCGGTCTCTTGCAGGAATGTTAAGTATTTTGTGATCACAGGAATTCTTTCAGTTACAGCACAGATAGAGTTACGAACTTAGGCATCCTAACACCATTTGAGTCGTCCCACAATGCAACATAAGCGATGATATTATTTAGCCACCTTTTTGTAATTGTATGGAGAAATACAATTTTACAATCTTTACTGTCTCTCCGAGGGTAGGCTTTACTTGCATCAACATCATGTTGTAAAAGCAGGCATACTGCCTTAAGCCACTAGTTAAAATAATGATAAGTGATATCCATTGCAGATTCAGACCATCTTGAAGATGGAGAAGTGCATATAAGACAGATGGGGATTCGCATGGTTACGATCAGTGGTCAAGCCTTGCAGCTCCAAACTGCATTAAAATTCTAAGATGTGTTGAGCATTGACATGGGAAAAAATAACCCTATTCTATTATTATATATTATTATACAATCCAATCGACCATCTAAGAGAAGACCAATTCAAAATGTACATAAGCAAACTAAGCAGTGTTGGCTTACTAAGTGTTTTAAAAGTGCATAATAATATTTTTGCATTAACAGAGAAACTGTTGTCGCAATCAAGATGTTTAAAATACGTAAAGCTAAGGATGAGGAGCCAACTGCTCCGGGGCAGGGTAAGTAACTAGAGTTTGAACACCAGCCTTCAACCGTAAATTACTGTCAAACAATAAACTATGTGATCAATATTAAATTACTTTTCCAAGACATTATATATAGTAAAGTTAGATTGTATCAAAGCTGCCAAGTTCTTCATTTACATTTTTTAATAATGCAATTTATCTCATTTAATGACAGTGAAAATTAGAAAAAAGTCAAAGGTTCCTGGAGTTATGATTACCCAGTATGTGGAAGAAATACCTGAAGGAATGAGCACACCAGATTTCACTCGGAAACCCATTGCTCTAACTATTCAAGAAGGTAAGGTAACATACAACCACATTTCCCCTCTAATTACATGTGCAACCTTTGTTTTTTTTTTTTTTTAAGATAATAACATAATGGTACATTCTTGTTAACATTTCTATAGGAAAACCAGCTATCTTCAGAGCAGTAATTACTGGCAAACCAACACCAACTGTGACCTGGTTAAGAAATAATGGGGAAATTGATGAAGAAAGGTACAAAATTGTCCATGAAACAAGTTCTGGTGAATACCAACTACAGGTAGGAACACTGACCACGTGTCATAATGAATGCTTATTCAGCTAACTTAAAATCTAAACACAGTTCAATAAATTCATCGGAATGATCCTGGTTTGATAAAAAACCCTGAAAATCATGTATTGATTGATAGATACCTGATGTATCGGTGGATCAAGCCGACACCTACAAGTGCTATGCCAAAAATGAATATGGAAAAGCGATTGTAACTGCTGCGCTTAATGTTATTGAGGGTCAGTTATTTACTTCTATTCCATTATAAAAAAAATTCTAAATTACATCATTATTAACATAAATTACACTGGTCTCACTTCACTCTAATTTCTTTCATTTTAGTTGGCTATAAAAAGAGCAGAGCCATGCAACAATCAAGAACAGGTACATAGCCTATATCTAACCATGATAATGCAATGTTAGTCATTCATTGAAAGACTATTGTAACCATGCTGCTGGTTTTGTTGTAGCTGTCCGAGAGATACCTGAAGACTTCAAAAAGGCCTTAAATAAGTAAGTAGTAAGTTGTTTTTTTTCCTTCCCATGTATGATTATTACCTTAAAGTGTTTAATAATATTTTTTTTTTCCTTTTTTAGGGTTGAGATTGAGCCAAAAGACAAAAAAAAAGAAATTGATGACAACTTTTGGGAACTGTTGATGAGTGCAGACAAGAAAGATTACGAGGTCATCTGTGGTCAGTATGGTGTCACTGATTTTCGTGGGATGCTGAAGAAACTAAATGAGAAGAAGGTAGAAAGGGAGCAAGAGCAAGAAAGGGTATGTTTCATCTTCATCTAAATGTAAATACTGTATAAAGCACCTACACAGCCTAACATTTAAAAAAGATGAATGAATGCTACAATATAAGAAATACAAACATTCTCACAGTGTCAAACCCTTTTTTCCTAATTCCAATTACTACAGGTTGTTGAGAGACTATGCAACCTAAAGCCCATTGAAATGAAAGGTGACGGTGGTGCAGAGTTTGAACTTGAAATGTCACTTAGAGACCCTACCAGCAAAATCTTCTTATTCAAGGTGAGATGTTTAATTTCAAATATTTACTTTTTTACTTAAAGGTGAATGAATCAGATGGAAGCACTAAAAGTCATATTAGATATTACTCTGCAACACAGACACATTCACATGCTCCGACATTCATGACTGCTTACGTTTACACAGGATGGAGTTATGATTCCTTTTGAAGCCGACACAGAGATAAAACATGGACTGAAGCAAGTGGGAAAGAAGTTTGTGTTTAGCATCAATGGTGTTGACCCTGAGGACGCAGGATTATACCAAGTGGAGGTCGATGGAGTTAAGATCTTCTCTACTGACCTCAAACGTAAGACGATGTACCAAATTAACATGTGCACTAGGGATGTCACGGGAAACGATATTTGGGTACCAAGTTGATGCCAAAGTTCTGAAAACTTGACTGTATTCGGTTTTCTTGATACCGTAGGTACCAGGGCAGCATATACTGTACGTGTATAAATATTCACGTCTGCTGTTAGGAAGGAAGCAATAGGAAGAATTGCAGCTGTACAGGTGAATTTACTTTATTTTCAAGCACAGTGCAGCTGCCATTAACTCTCTCTCCACTTTTTTCTTAATTAATCTAATTGGTGCAAAAGTTGTACAGACAAGGAAAATAAACACATTGCAGAATACAGTTCATTTAGGTAACTCAAGCAAAGGCTGCACCAAAGCAACAAACACTACAGAACACTTTTAAAGGGAGATAAAACTCCCTCCAGACAGCAACAAGACCAAAAAAGATTACAGAGTTTGTAAAGCTATTTTATAGCCTACTTTGTTGTTAAGTAAAGTATTAAAAAAAACATTAACAGCTT